ATTTGGACATCGAGTGTTTTGTTAATTATGAAAGTATGTGAGAGAATTGATGCGAGCTTATGTAATAGTTTTTTGTTCACGAACTTAAAAATAAAATAAAATAAATTGACAATAAAAATGAAAGTTATTGATGTAAAAAGTTACAGTTGAAAATTGAATACAATAAAATAAAAAATAATTACATGAAGGGGCAATTTTTTTGGTTCATGTAAGATTTATCTAAGCTTTATAAATTTACTAGTTATTACTTATGTTTGAAGGTATAGAGTAATAAAAAAAATAGTCAATAATAAACATATTTGTATTCATACCTAAAAATAAATCACAACAAATGAAAAAAAGAGAAAAAATTTTTAAGAACTGGCTGTAGTAGGGGTGAGCGATGGTAGTTGTGGTGGTTGGTTTTGAGTGATGATGGTGGTAGTGACAGTCATGGTTGACAATGGTGATGGTGGGCGACGGTTATGTTGGTTAATAGTGGTGGTGGTTGGGCGACAATGGTGGGGGTGGCGGTCGTGAGTGGTGACGATGGTGCATCGTGGTGGTGGGCAACAACAGATACTTCTAGGCGATAATGTGATGGGTGGTGACAAATGGCGGTGGTGGTAGGTGAGGGTGGGGTGGGTGATAGTGGGTAGTGACAGTAGTAGGCGATGACAGATGGTGGTGATAAGTTTGTTGAGGTTGGGTGAAAGTTGCTAGCGGTGATGGTGTGCACTGACAAGTGATGGTGGATAGTGGTGGGCAACAATGCCGATGGTGGGTGATGATAGTGGGCGATTGTGGTATTTGGATGATGGTGGTAGTAATAATAAATATAAGAATAAGATGACGATTTATGGTGGGTGGTGGCAGTGAACTACGATGGTATGAGTGGCAACAATGGTGGTGAGGCAGTGGCGGTGGTGGTGGGGCAATGGTAGTGGGGGTGGAGTGGCGACGGTGGTGGTGGTGATGGTGATGGTCGTGGGGCTGGTAGTGGGGCAATGAGTGTGGCGGCAACGATGATAGTAGTGGTGGGGCGGCTACAGTGCTGGTGGGGGTGGGAGTGGTGGTAAGTCGGTTCCAAACATTACTTTTGTCTTTTTTAAAGTACTTATAATAAATTATAAGTTTTAAAAACACTTATTAAATAAATAAATATTTTATCCAAATCTTCGTATCCGAGAATCAAAAAATTCGACTCCATATTGTTCACAAAATTTTGAGTCTTCTTTTTTATCTCCAATTAGTTGATAATTTTCACAAGCACAAATTTCACTTTTTATAGGATCAAAAATTCTTACACAAATTAATTCATCTTTTTTCGATTTTGAAATTACTGGTCCAAGCCCAATCGAATCAATAGATGTATGATTATCGATCTTAGAAAGGGCAGTGGACAAATCCCCCGACTGTGAATGACTTGTTTGCACATGGAATCATTGCTTTTAGAATTGACAATGAGAATGTCACAGAAGTCATTTTGGGGTGATAGAGAATATAATCAGTGTAATCACAGAGATTGTGAAGGAGGTTTAAATAAGACATCGAAAGCATACTAAGGTAAGAACTAATATGCCCATTTAAGTTTGATTTAAAATAATATAATTTTATTATTAAAATTTCAGATTATATATATATATATATATATATATATATATATATATATATATATATATATGTTTTTTTTGGTCAGCCAGATTATATTGTAATTGGACTCTTATTTTATGGTAATTTTTATGTACTTCCAATAAATAGTATTTAATCCAAAGTTTATGTTGATATCATTGTGGCCACTTAAGTTACAGGATTCGGTTTGAATCGGATGGATAGCAAACGGTGATTGGACACAGCCTCGGCCACGTTGTGGGGTCCTAAAGGCTATTATCTGTCGGGGAACCAAAGAAAATCAATTGCATTTGCCTACTTTAGTTTAACCGTGTGGGTCCCATTGATAGAGAGAGAAAGAGAATCTTCGACAGTGAAAGATGGCGCCATGTCATTACGGATTAATTCTTTCTTAGACAGGGTTGTGAATGGTGTCCATCGAGAGTAATTTGTCTCAAATTTTAGTGGATTTATAATAAATAATATTTTATATTATATTGTGTATATATATATATATATATATATATATATATATATATATATATTGCTCATTAAAAAAAAGGTAAGGACAAAAGAGAGTGTCTAAAGATTACCTTAATGAGTTTTTATTTGCGAGATCATGAGGTTCTTGACCAAATCCGTTACTCATTTCAAAAAAGAACTTAGATAGACTAATATAGTAGTTAATCACCGAACCCCAATGTAAATTTTAAAACTCAAATTTCTAATCTCAGATTGAGAAGCTTGGTTGGTATCCACTGGATCACCCCACTCAGTGGTGAATTATGTATATCTAGTATATAAACAAGTCGTATTTTTATATCAAATTTATTTATTAATCATGTTTACGAAACAGATGACTTAAAGAACACTCAAAACTTTTAATTTCATGTCATATTAACAGATTCGTATCATATTTTAACACTTATAAACTCTAATTTCTCTATAATTTTAGTTGAGACATTGTTATTTGAATTTAATTTATTAATTTAATTAATAGTAGAGTCTATTATTATTTGAGACCTACCATCGATTCCATAACCATGATGGAATTGTTCTGCAAATAAGATTAGTTAATTAAGTTAAAATATTATTTTCTTTTTAGGTGAGTGGTCAATTCATATCAAAACCAAATTGGGCGCGGAAGGAGCCTAGATTTATTGTTCAACTATTATTTTCTAAATTTATTTACATTAATACGGTAACTTTAAATTTATTTACTCAATCACGATTGTTTTTAAAAGAGTTCATTTTAAAAGCAAATTTTTTAATACAACCGTATATTTTAAAAACATATTTTTAAAGATTGTTTATTAACAGTACGTTTAAACAAGTTTCGATACATTATTACGTGAGAAAGTAATTTTAAATTTATTTGTCAAACTATTATTTTGAGTAAATAATTAACTCCAAAGAATGTTGTAGAAAGTTTACCGAATTATATTATCAACCCTCAATACGTAAATGCACACTCATTTCTCTATTTATGCCCTCCTCCCCTCTTTTATATATACTAGAGGTAATTCGTATTTGAAGACATGGTATAACGTAAAGCGAGAAGTGTATTTGAGAGGAAAAAAATTTAATGTAAATGATTTTGAGAGAGATGTTGATGGGCGTTAGATGAGTTTATTTGAGACCGTCAGATGGACTTAATGAAGTCTGCCGTGTTTTATATTATATATATATATATATATACACTAGTTATTTCTCGTACCTGAAGACACATAATAATTAAAAAAATGGTCAACAAGAAATATATTTATATTTACACCCAAAATTAAATTATAAAGATAAAAAAGAGAAAATAATTTAAACACCGGTTGTAGTGGGCCGCGAGCGGTGGTAGTGGTGGTGAGAGACGATGATGGTTGTAGTGAGTGACGATGACCGGTTGTAATAGTGGCAGTCGTGGGTGACAAGTGGTGATGGTGGTAGGGGTGATAGTGGGATTGTAGCGGTGGTGGCAAGGTAGCGGCAGTGACAGCGGTGGTGGTGTGGAGTGGCAATAGTGGTGATGGTGGGGCGATCGTAGTGGTTGTTGTGGAAGAGGTGGTAGTGGGTGGTAACGGTGGTGGTGGTAGGATGACAACAATGGTAGTGATGGTGGTGGTGGGGGGTAGTGGTGAGATAGTTTCAAACACTATTTTTTTTTAAAAAAATTTAAAAGAAGTTATAAGTTCTAGAATTATTTTTAAAAAGTTATCTCAAACACACTCTTAGGAGCCTATTTTTCCTATTAAATTTTAGGTGTTAATATTACATGTTAGATTAACTTTAAAGCAAAATTTAAAGGTATCTTAATCTCAAAATATAAAAGTCATTTTATTTATTTTTTGATATTTAAATTGTATTGTACTTTATTATATTAATATATTAGTTATTGCTCGTGCTTGAAGGCACAAAGTAATAAAAAATGATAAACAATAAACATATTTGTATTCATATCCAAAATTAAATCACAAACATAGAGAAAAAATAAAAAAATTTAAATATCGTTTTGAAGTGGGGGTGAGAGATGGTGGGCGATAGTAGTGATGGTAAGAAAACGGTGATGGTTGTGATGGGTGACAATGATTGTGGTGGCGGCGAGGGCGGCGACGTCGGTGGTGGTGGATGTAGTGGTGGGGCGGTTTCAAATACAATTTTTTTTAAAAAAAATATTTATGAAAAATAATTTTTAGAAGTACTTTTAAAAAAGTCACTCCAAATAAACTCTCAGGAGCTTATTTTTCTTATTAAATTTAGAGTGTTAATATTAGTCGTTAGATTAACTTTAAAGTAAAATTTAAAGCGATCTCAATCGTAAATAGTAAAAATTATTTTATTTATTTTTTGAAATTTGAATTATAAGCTATTTTGTTATATAGATATTATATATATATTGGCCCACCCTCAGGACGAATTTAAGTCCAAAGATAGTTTATACGAATGTTATATTACTAAGTGGGCTTATCTTTGCTAGTCTCAGTTGGTTTACGGCAAAAGTTGTTTAACTAAAAGATGAAGGGGTTCTTTGGCATCGACTTTGATAAAAAGTAACTAACTATCCCCTAAGGTTTAGGTCACACTAAGATCCTATTTGGATGATAATAATTTTAATTGGGTCATACTCAGATCCGGTTTGAAAGACATCAATTTTAGAATGCTCAATTAAATTGGGCATGAAATTACCATTATTCATGATGATCTTATTCTCGATGTAAATTACCGATCATTAACTACTTAAACATGGTAACATTGAATCCACTTCATAAAACTAGTGGATAGAATCTTCTAAAAAATGTTATGTAAGGCCCTGTATATGTTGATCATCTCACATTTTGACTTAATAATATATATATCTCTATCCAAATAAACAAATAGATAGATAAATCCATGATCATATATATAAACACGACTTTCAATTAAGATGATCTCTTCTCCAGTAAAAGAGACAATTCATAATATACAGACAACAATAGCACAGGAAGACAATGGAAAGTATCCATGGTTCTGCAGGCTTGTGTGTCCAGTACTCACTGATATGGGAGTGAGCACAAAGTAGACTACGATCATCCTGCTCTCCGCATTTTGATATTAAGAGGGATTTCCTTGTAGGACTGAACCTTCTCGGCTGCTTTACGCAATGGCCTTCCCATGGTTCTTTTTGAGTCTCGAGCTTCACATCCGAGGGTAGATTTTTCATCATTGTCTTCTTTCTTGACAGAAGAAACCGACGGAGCTGGACCATCTTCATGCATTGGACTACCAATTGGAAATTTAGCATCTTCTATCTCAAACAAGTTTTCTACAAGTTCTTGCTTGTGAGATTTATAACCAGCAGACTGCCTTCTTAGACAACGCCTGAACATAAGACACAACAAACATAACTTGTAATTCCCACCCAATATAAGGCAGCATGGGGGATGATTGTATGCAGAAAGACAATACAATACAGAAAAGATAACAATAGCAGTTGTTCTATATTTACTAGATGCAATGAGTGAGAAGAGGTGTTTGATAGAATCCTTCACATAGGCAGAAGGACTTGAAACATATCCCAGATTAGAGCAAAAGAATAATATCAAATCTTAAATCACATGCATGCATTGAGAAGAAAGATACTGGCCCACTGCATATCTACAATTTGCCATCTGTAATATTAGTAAGTGCAAATAAATTAACCTTTTACTCTCAGTTGTCTCTTCACCTGCAGCTTGCTGAGATGTAGCTGAATGGCCCATAGCTGCAATTTGTCCACAAGTGTCATTAGACAATAAAGGAAGAACCAAATATAAACCCATAAGCCATATATATTTCACTAAGTCACTTAGGCTCTAGTGTTTACATTTACTTCTAGCGGAGCGCCTTCTGTTACTGTTACATGGTTTGCTATCACCTCCCAATATATGTTTCTTTATGGCATCCTTTTCTTCCTAGAGACAAGAAGTAAAACAAGTTGTTAGTGATAGACATAAAAAAAAAGGGGTCCTAACAGAATAGCAGAGCAAAGCTTAGCTAAAACACCTTAGGCCCCTTCGTTTGACCCTTCAGTTGTCCTTGCCCCTGTGAAATCAAGAGGGACTATTGTTGAAAAGAACAAAACATCTAGGAGAGAATGGTGTTAATATAGTAACAACCAGTTTGCATAAAGAAGTTTATACAAGTTAAATTTTGGCTGTGACTACTCTCCCTCCCTCTCTCTGTCTCACACACACACACCACACTCACACAGACACAGACACAGACACAGAAAACACACACACACACAACAATAGAAATCTAATACTCAACACATCATCATCATGCACGCTTTTCATGTTCCCATTTATTGATCAGGGCAGTTGTAATAATTTTCCCTCTTTTTCTCAAGTATATGATTTGGCTCCATTTATAGTAAGCACTGGGAGAAAATGGCCGAGTAAGAATTATCACTACTGTTTATCCTCAATAATTCCAAATACAACCTATTGAGCTTGTGCATTAAATCCAATTTGGATTCAAATACAACCTCCAAGTACCGAAGCAGTGGGCCAAAAGACTCCAGAAAATTCATAGGCAGCATTGACCTAGTCTTGGGACATTACTTTCAATGAACGAGCGAGGAAAATAGAGAAAATTTAGAGGAGGTGCATCAAATGATTCTCAATGAATGCTCTTAAGGCGACTGTTGTCTAGATCAATTCATATAATCTTGTACTCGTCTGTTTGTGCTTCCTCCATTCGCAAACTAGAAGTCTTCTTGTTCACCCATTATTTTGCATATAAGCAAAGGACTTGGGAGTATGGTTGCCATTACCTGTTTATGCTAAAGATCTAACCTACTAATATGGATTGTGGTTATTTTCTTTTTCATAGAAGGATGCCCAAATGACTTCTTATAACCCATTCCATATGATCTTTAAATTTGTCAACATTTTCACCCATCCTATTTAATCCATAGACCATAAACCAATTTTTTCATCACATTTCTGTAAGCTGAAAGAGAAAGAAGAAGAAAAGGAGATAATCTTCTCAAAAGGTCCAAATAAAGCAATTAACATTATAAACATAAAACTGAATTCCAAGATTAAGAAAATAAATTCACTATGTTCTAAGAAAGAAAATATACTAACATTAATCCTCAAATTAATCCCTAAAAATTTTTCCGTTAATGCTTCATCCAATCCCTTTCCATTCCAGTCAATTCATGTTAAATTGCAGAATTTATCCCTTCCTCTAAAACTCCTCTATTTCTCTCCCACACACAAGAAAAAGAAAGAGCATAATTTACTAATGCTATAGTCTGCATCACATATATGGAATAGAAAAGCCAAGCTTACCACAAATTCTACATTCTTTGCTTTAAGAGAGGCATCCTTGCACACAAGCTCATGCTGTAGGGATTTTAACTGGGATGAACAATAAGAACTAATCAGAGGGTAGATCCATGATGAGAAGAGGACTTCATTAACAGATGGACTTAATTTCCTGTGTTTGTGTATAAATGAGCTTACCTTTTCCCTACCCAAATTGAGTTCCTGCAAAATTAAAAAGAATACATTCAGCACAATTGTCACAATAAACTAAAAAGTTAAGGGGGAGGTGGGTTCACATTTGACGTCAATGCAAAAGCAACGAACCGCTAATACATGGCCGTTTGATTGAGCAAGATTCCAATTCTGCAGCTGCAATTTCTGAAGACTCACTCGCAACTTCTGAAGCTCAATTCCACTTAATTCTATGATTTTACTATGAGAACAAATTAAGAAGAAACCCAACAGAAACAGATTTTTTTTTGAAAAAAATAACATAACACAAATAAAATAAAGGATACTTTTTGTCTGCAATAAGTTTCATCAATGCCATGTTTTCCTGTTTCAAACATTCACATCAGAGAAATCTCATTCAGCAAAAATAATAACACGCCAAATAAAAATAGAAACTACAACTTAAAGAAGACCCAAACAAGATTATACCTTTATGAGATGGTCAATGTAGTCCTTAGCAGAAGAATCTATCAGCGATGGTTTTTCCACATTGATAGGGGATTTTGGTTGTGGCAGCGAATTAGTAATGTCCGAGAGCCTTCTCTTAACTATGCCTCCAAAAGAACACCTTTTAGCCAATCTGTCCCCTTTCATACTATCAAGTTCTTCCGACAAAACCCTTGTATAACCTCAAGAACCCAACTGGGTAATCAAGAAATAAGGTCCAAATACAAGAAATTGCATAAAGAAGATAAACAGATGTGCAATCTAAAACATGGGCATATGTGTATCTATGATTTACCTAAAAAAAGAACAAAAAATCCAGACAACAACGAGGTATCCTAGCCTTCTAGGGTTTGTAATTTGTCAAGACTACCTCACAAAATAATAGGATGTTGGAAGGCACCTATAAATGCAAGTAACAACTGTGAACTGTTTTTAATAAAGAAGATCAAACACTCGTATTGAAGAAGATTCAAGCAAAGCCCTTATCTTTCTCTCCGTAACTCTCTCTCTCTCTCTAAACGTCGCTGGCAAAGAATAACGAACGAAAAAAAGATGAGAAACAAGAACGAAAGATACGAAGAGAAAAAGAAAGTGAAAAGCCAGATGATAGAAGAAGGCAAAGAATAAAGAAGGTACAGGTTCGGAAATATAACGGCTTTCCGAAGCGAAGTGGCAGAAGGCGGTGTGCGCTTCCGAGCCTTACTTTCGAATATACAACCGTTGCCCAAACCGGTTTTGAATATGGAGCACCTAGGACTAGCTAAAAAAGCAAAAGGGTAAAGTTCATAGACGTTCCTAAACTTTAGCACTAGTTTCAATTTAACCTCTAGACTTTATTTCCTCTTCATATTAGGCCATCTCCAATAGAAACTTAAACTTTTACTCAAATTTAAGTAAAAAAAAAGGCAAAAAAGGTTGATTTTATTAGGGATGTCAATTGTGTTGTATTCTTGTGATCCGGATGTCGTGTTATTCGTATCGTGTTCATGTTAAGACTCGTGAAGAAAAAATTTATTTAATGTGTTATGAGTATTAAACATTAATTTAAACTATTTATTATGCGTATTTAATAATCGTGTTAATTTTATAATCGTTCGTGTCAGGTTCGTATCAACGGATCAGAGCTGACACTCTTAATTTTTATATAGACCTCTCTAATGGAGAAACCCAAATTTAAAAAGATGATAAAATATAACTATTGAATCTTTAAAGGAGGGTATAATCTCACTATTAAAAATTTGAGTTTAAAAAATGGTTTTTCTTCATTTAGTATGAGTATGAGTTTAACATTGAAGAAATAATTTTGACTATTTTTTATCCAAATTTAAATTTACATATAAAAAAAGGTAAGGGCCAAAGGTAGTCTTATGGTACTTCATATTACCTTAAACTAATAAAGACACAACAATCAACTCGATATAGCCCAAGACATTAGTTTTAGTTGCATCTGGATTCTTTTCAATTTCCTTCTAGACGGATAATGCATATCATTAATCAGTGAGAGATTCACTTATAATTTTGTATACAATTGATCCCACTTGAATGCATGATAGGTGATTCGCCAAAAAAGAGAATTGAAGAGAGTATTTATTAGAGGGGATCTCACTCTGTTTCAATCTACTTCTCAACTGCCTTTTGATATCCCAAAGGGTAGGTTAATGATTTGTCAGATTTTCTCGCTCAATACTTGGGTTTGAGTTTGAATCTCTATTACTATAGTAATTTAATAAAGTTAAACTTACTTTTTAGTGTTGAGAGTATATGGTGAGACATTAATTTCGGCCCTGACATAAGTGTGGTAAAGTCTCTTATAGATAACTGTATGATGTCGAGGGACAATACTCCTTGACCAATATGTAAAGTGTCCTATCTCTATACCCAGTTTTTATAATAAAAGTCAGGGTAAACCCTGATTGCACATAACCTCCCTAAGGTCTGAAAATAGCACATAACCCATACAGTTGTTGGACAAAAATGAACATTTAACTCTGTTAAGTAGGAAAATATAATGACCTTAATACCCTTTATTTTTAATTAAAAAAAAAATAGCCCCAAATTTATCATCTTCATCACAACCAGCCCAGTCAATGTTCCCACCATTTTCTTCATCTCTGACAGCCTAACTATTGCTAACTTTAGCACTCATCACACACCCACAACAGCAACCAAAAAAAACAAAAACTCCAATAATCCATAACCACTGTTCGTCACCCACCAAAAAAAAAAAAATCAAATTAAAAAAAAAACAAAAATAAAAATCGCGATCAAAACAAAAAATAAAATTTTAACTGAATCAAAGTCAAAATTCAATTTCAAAATCAGAAAAAGAGAAGTGAGAGATGAGCAAAACGAGAGAGATGAATCAGGAAAATAAAAAAGACCAGATTCATCAAATTAGGTAGCTATAGCCATTATCGTTCTTCTAAATAGTGCAAAAAGGATATATTCCTCACACAATAGAAACAATTAGGTAGCTATAGCTGGTGTGTTGGTTTTTTTCAAAGTCGGTTTATCTGTGCCGATATATTTTTTCAGACTTTGATGAAGCAAAGATCGAGTATA